CAGTCTGAGCAGAGTCCTGACAAGCAGTAATCTGTCACCAGCAGACAGAACCACTGAACCACTCACTACTCCAGGTCCCACTGCTAGACCCTACCTAGACCCATCTAGACCCACCTAGACCCCACAACCACCCCAGAGGACAAATGAAGCTGAAGCATGGTATGACACCAATATCACAAGCCATACTTAGTCTGGAAATGAATGCTGACCTGGTTTGGAAGCACCTCTCCCTCATTTTTTCAAGGAAGAATTTGGAAAGCTGTGTTTTCCCATCACAGCCCATTAAATACCTGTTTTTACATTGTAAAACACTCTCCACCATGGTCAGTTCCTGCCTGGACAACCACATTCCTCAACCACATTCCCTGATTTAGCAAATGATGGATTGTACTCTTCTTTAGAGTATTTTCTCTCCCATAACCTTAGAGACAATAAACCCACTAGGATACATTCACTTTCTTTCCGAAGGCCTTGGTCTCCTTGCCAAAAAGTTGTGGACGGAGACAGAAGTCCTGTGATGCTGCACAGTCACACTGCAAGACATGGACACACCACTTCCAAAGCTGCACAGCTCCATGGCAGAAACATTGGATTGATCATCAACTTCTTCACCTACCACTCCTGCAGTGATACACAAATATTTTGGCAGTTTACCATTCTCCTGGTTTCTCTGTGATTCCCAGACTCAAAACCAAAAATAATTTTAAAAAACGAAAAAAGGGAAAAAAAAAAAATAAAATCAAACAAATGCAAAAATACACAAAACAAACAAACCAACCCAATAAAAAAAACCTAACCACACTTTTTAAAGGGTTTTCATATGTCAGTTCATAAGATGTACATTTCTGGTTGCTCAGGTAACCTTCACACCCTTTGCTGGTCAATAATAAATAAAGGGTCAGTTCCAGAACATCCAACGCCAAACATCATTAACTCTTTCTCAAGAAGTCAGTCTCTTAAAATAGAATTAAATACCACGTTAAAGTTTCAGTCACAATAAACTCAATTCTTCTTCTAAAGCAAAAAAAGTGCAAGAATCTGACACCATATGGAAGTTCTGTATATTCAATAGAGTTATCTGTTGAATTACTGACCACACGTATTCTTCAATGTACACTGACAGTTATTGTGTACTGAGAACCATTTACAGGCATCTTCACAACACTGAAAGTAATTTAAATGCATTCAAGACTGGTAACAAATGGGTCTGAATAAATTTTTGCACAAAAGCATTTCATGATCTTTAGCAAAGTTCCATCCTAATATTTTTACAGTTTTAACACCCATATATTCCGCTAATTGACTTTCAATGAGAATGATTGTTGCCACACATGACAGAGTTCTTCGCACCCTTCCTCTTACATTCACAATATTGTATACATGATATCATTTATTCCTTATTGAATTAAGTGCTGCTCTACAAAGACGAAAACACTGACACACTTGGAAAGTACAACAGCAGATTTGTGTACTTCTGCAGTCTGTGCACACCTGACTGTATTAGGCTTTCATGTTTTCATTTATAGGTCATGAGAATGCTGTAACTACTGTAATGAAACCACAATCCTGTTTGTGTTCTCTCACAGAGAAGTGTCTTGAATCGGAGACATTTCAATTGCTGTGCTTCAGACTCTAAAAAATACTAGTCTCTTGTTTTCTAGACACTTTTCTTCCCCTTTATCTTCAAAAGATCTCTGTTCCCCCTCTATTAAATCAATAAAATTATACTTTTTTCAGTAATTAAATATCAAATTTCAGTGCAACGACTAATATGTACGTTTCCAAAGACATACACTAGATTTAACAAGATCTATTATTTAAAAATAAACAGCCTCAATTAGGGCCAGTGTTACTCCTGTGCCTGCCTTGTGCATAAAGCTGGCATGCAAAAAAGTTAGATTTTTCTTCTTACAGAAGAAGTGAAGGTGAAGAAATGCATTTTCTATACTGGGCACCAGATGAAAATCGCATTTCTCTTCTGCGAACCGGAGCCCCTATTTTCTGAGCAGCTGCCCACCTCCTGGCAGTGCAGCTTGTGCCTTTGCTGGCTCCTGCCCAGCCACATGTTTTCTCTGGCCTTTTTCCCCTCACTTCCCAACTCTCCATTGTTTGCGCATTGTCCCTCTCCTTTCCAAAGCCCTTTGTGGCTTACCACTGCTAACTCTTAAAATTTCCTCTGCAAAACTTGTCAATTTCTGATCTAATTTCCAAGCTGTTAAACATCAACTACGGGTTTTATTACACACCACTTGTTTTACTAGGTGGGTAACAATTCCAGAAGAATATCCCCTCTCAGCATCAACTGTAAGACTTACAAAAGGATAAATCAACAATGTAATTGTGAGCAATTTTTATAAGACTTAGCACTGACAGCATGGCAAAGTTTAAATGGTGTTTACCTCTTTTACATTTTCTTCACCATTCCTGGACATAGTCAAAATCAACTCCTAATAGACAGTTAAAGTATTATCCTGAGATTGTTTCTCCAAACACAAGTTTCATAGTTTTCAGACTGAATAACACAATTAGGTTCTTTTCAACAAGCAATGTAGTATCACAGCCATTCTCCTTCCTTCTCTGAAAGGATAAGATCGCAAAAATTGTAGTGGCAATATGCAATAAGATTAGACTCTTTCAATATAAATATATGTCAAAATGTAATTAGTCAAATTACATCAAATACATGATTTCAAACTACAAAGTACACAATGTATCATGTTGGTTTAGGCTGAAACACAAAAGCTGAATAATGGCATAAATCAGCATTTGAATTTACTTAAAGGCAAATTCCGACCAAAGTTGCAAAATACACATCATGTTGTTAAGAGAAAAAATAAATTATTCTAATACAATTATCAACTAAACATCAATTTTAAAAGATACAGGATTTTTTGGTAAAAATATAAATAATTATTTACGAAATAATTTGCCTAGAAAACCCCAACAACTTTCTAGTTATATATAATGATGTAACCCCCTAGCCTCAAAACATCACTCTTCAAATGAATTTCCAGGTTTGGGCGCAACAATAAAGAGTATCTCCCACCGGGACAAGGCTGGCACAGGCCCACTGGAATCTCAGTCATCCTCATTATGTCCTGGAGGCAAACTGAAACAAGACTGAGATCAGCAGTTTACAGAAATACTAAATGTGATGCAATTTGCAGCCATGTCTGATTCACCACAGAGGTCCAAAGGACCAGCTCACTGAGCAAAGGACTCGCAGTGTGTGTCCCTGTGGAGCCTGCAACCACCAATGGGCTGGAAACATCATAAACCAGAGATACTCCTCCACCTTCTTTCAGTACCTGCTGCCCACAGGAAGCTGAAGCTCCTTGGTAAACAAGCAAGTTCTACAGGTAAGCCAAAGCCAGCCTGTGAACCTCAAAGAGGGTTCTTTGTGACTCAGAGGGTTGTATGATGGAGATCTGTAGTTTCTCCTTTCACGCCAGAACGGACATCACACAGCACTGCAAGGGCAGTGGAGGGAGTGGCCAGGGCAGAAAATCTCCCTTCTGCACATTGAATGAAGGTGATGCCTTTCCTTTAAACCTGTTTGTTGTTCCTCAGCCTAGCCAATTACAAAATCACCTGTTACCTACAGCAAAACCCTCTGCCACCCAGAAGAGACACCCACATTCAGGGCATGTAGGGGGTACAGTACACCATATCCAAGAGAATAAGCTCTGTCCTCAGCAGCCAGCCTGATTAATGTACATAGTTAAACAAGGAAAAAAACGCAGCAAACCCATTTTCAACTATAGATGTGTAATTACTATTCACAGGAAAAAGAAATAACTAAGTAAATGAACAAAGTTAAACCCACAATGTTCTTATTCCCTCCCCTTAGCAACCTCTACAACTTACTGAAAAGACTTAAGATAGCAGAGTTTAAAGCAATATACTTCATGTTTTAACTTTATTTTTCTTAGAACAGGATCTGCAATTGTGATATTAAACGTAATTCCAAACAAATTCCTTCCTCAGAGTTCAAATGTTACTTTCTAAATAAACATCGTAGCAACTGTTCATTAAAGAGATTATTTTCAGCTACTTCAGTGATGACAGCATAAGCAAGCTATTACTGGCATTTTCAAAACCACCTTTCTGACATAAAACATGGTGTTGCCCTTAAACGCAAACCTATCAGAAATGGGATTAAAAAAATAAACAAAAAAGAGAAAAGCCAAAACAGATGCAAATCTTGCAACAAAGAATAGATGCCTCTGATAATTTGCATTGAACGTTTTGTAAGATTTTTAAAAGTAGTAAGTTTTATTAAGCTACTGAAAGCCTCAGAAAGGAGAAAAAAAAAAAAAAAAAAAGATGACCAGTTCTAAATAATACTTGTGGGACTGCTCCTTGTTTTTTTGCCGGTCTAGAAGTTTTGTAATTTAAGTCAAAAGCTACTCTTGGAAATTATTTCAGTAAGTGTACTTATTCTGTAAAGGAACAAATGTGGAAGAAAGACTTCAAACAACTAACAATGAACTATTTTATTGCAATTTTAAGATTAAGAAGTTAGTTTATTACAGCTAAGCTATTCTGTAATTTCATCGCTTATGTGAGCTTTTTCTGGTGCCACTATTTTAGACATACAATCAAGAAAGGTATCAAGTCAAAACAGGGCAGGGAGCAGGAATTTAAATGACAAGTATTTCTTCTAACAAGAGCAATTCTAATTTCTTCAACAATTAGCTAAGAGGAATGCTACTGTGGCTGTGAAAAAAAAAAATAGACAATTTGCATTACTTCTAAACCCATTAGCCATCACAAAATTTTAAGAGTAATCAGTTCCAATGTACACAGAAACATTATTTTACAACAAAGTTAATAGTATTTTTCATTTTGATTGTGATTTGCTTTTTTCTCCAGTCAAAATCATTCCATGGGTACTTTCCAGTGACCTATGTCCTAAATCATTTTCATTTCATGTGAGCAAGTGACCTCTTCACAATCCGACCGACAAAGAAAAAAACATGACTCTCAGGAACCATTCATTTTCAGCCACCGTCACAGTTTAATTTCTCCAAAATAAACCTGGTAAAAACAGAAATGGAACAAAAAAGTACCCCATGTTCAAGAAATATTAATTAACCACTCTATCAGAAAGATAAATACCAGCCCTCACATTTCAGTGATGAAAAACAAAGAGGTTAAGTGACATTTTCAATGACACATAGCAAAACACTGCCTCAACATGGATCACATCTCAGAAGTTTTCTATTGTTTTCAGCCCACTAGCCCTGAATAACTCCTGTGCATGCAATGCTGAATCAGGTATATTTCTCAGAATACAAAAAGCTTATTACAGCTCACATAAATTAGTCCTAAAAAACCCCAAAAACTTATTTTACAATTTTTTTTTAAATGCATTTAAGTCCAACAATAAATTTTTCAAAAAAATAATAGAGTCTGACAGGAATGTTTCTAAGCAAATACACCTTTATTCTTAAAATTGTAGTCCCAACACATTCTATTATGGAAAGCATTTAAAAAATTTATAAGCAACAGCTGATTACAGAATAAAATGCAACAACAACAAAAAAATAGCCAAACACCAGCAAATAAACAAGTCACTCCAAAAAATCTGTGGAACTATTCACCTGACTACTGTACAAACCCTAGTGCAGCTTTAAAAGAGTACCACGTATTTACTGACTGAAATGTCCTGAACTTGGTGTATTTCTTTTACTCTTCCTCACACTCAAACCCACTCTAATTTGATTGCTCCTTACAGACTATTTCATCATTTTACATAAATCTTCACTAAACAGAATGCTACAAAACATTTAGGTTTTCTCCTCTCAAGTGATATAAACAGTGCACTGTAGCAAAGATCCCGTGACACAATGTAAAAATCACCGAGGTTAAACTAAATACAGAGAAATACACAAATATTTATACAATTGATTCTGTTTAAGCTTCCTCCTAAAGTTACTGTTAAACCTTAAAGCCTACACCAACAAGGCCTCACATGAAGCACTGTATTTCAAATAAATTAGGATGTCTAACTACATGCATTTTGGAAACCCTAAATTTGAAATACTCTTCCCTTCCCTTAACCTTTTACTGATCTACTATCCTCATTAATTAAAGGAATGATTTAAGTATGCAAAAACCCTACAGAAAAAAACTGTTTTGTAAGAACTACATTAAAACTGCAGATTACTACGAAACACGAGTATTTTGAGTATTTACATGAACAAATTATTATTGTCAAGAAAAAACTTTAAAAAATACTAGTTTGAACAATTAAAATCATATCTCACTTAAAAGGGTTTAGTAGTATTAGAGAAACCAATTTAATAATTAATCATATTTTTCTTTAGAGTAATATTACTAGCAGTAATGTTTTTCCTTAATGGCTTTAAATTACTTACCACTGATGAAAAAATTTAAAATTGTCAAAATCTCTTAAAACTTTGACTTCTTTCCCCCCACACACAAGAATTAATGGGGGGAGATATACACACCATGCACAACTTCTGAGTTCCACCTTTGTAAAAAAATTTCTAAGGGCCTGATCCAAGCCTGTGAAATCAATGAAGCGATTCCTGCTGCTGTCAATGGAAAGATTCCCACTCTCTAGAGCAGAGTTTGGATAGGGGCTCTAATGCACAGAAAGATCAGAGAAGATCCTCTTTGGAAGCAAGACTTCCTAAAAGGATAAGCAATTCCCAGGTAGAGGGTATTGCCCATTCCTCCATCTGTAGCTCTGCACTCTTTACTAATAGAGGACAATACCATCAATTCACGGTGGTTACTTTTGAGATTATTTTTCCCTGGAGAATATATCAGCAGCCCGCTTTCTGTGTGGACTATTCTCGCAAATTTTAGACGAGCGTTCTCCTGCCAGCCCATAGCCTAAGCTTTACCCCTCTCCAGCGGCTCCATCCCGGGACCTTACCAGCGCTCGCCAGCGTTCTCGGCCAGGGGCTGCGCTGCGACACGGGCCCGCTGCCTGACGAACCTGACACGAGCCGAACTAGGGGAAAAGAACAAAACCGCCTCACCGACTGCCTTTACCTTGGCCGTGCAGGCTCCGCCGGGCGGCACACGGCTTTTCGGCAGGTTACGGGAGGCCAAGAGCGCTGCCGCCCGCGCACCCCGCGCTCGGCGCGGCGGGACGGGGAGCGGAGNTTTTTTTTTTTACAAGGACGGCTACGGTCTAAAATGTGACTCGGCTGTTGCGTTTTATCTGTTCCTGTTTACGGTTCAAGATTTCATCTGTACAATTGTATTTCTCGCTTGAAAAAACCACTTTGAAACCATTTTCTTTTAATTAATTTAATGTAATTTCTCTCTGCTGCTGGCAGCATTAGGTGTCTATAAGATTGCTATTTTCTATCAGGATTGTTTAGGAAGCAAACAAGAGCACAGACTGCTCTTCGAACTAGGTGCCCTCCCTTTCCTCCCTGCGTACTGCTCCAAGACACTTGGGAAGGAGCAGAAAATGCTGGTTTTAACCGAAGTCAAGTCGAGGAGGATCTGTATTACAACATCAAAGAAAAGGAGACGTTACAAAATTGGTGGAGTTACACCACCATCTGTCGTTAAGCTTCGGGACTACAAAAGTTCAGACGTATAATAAATTTTAATGAGAGATGGCAACTTTGTTTTTTTCTCTTTCACCTCGAACTCCTGCCGCCTTGGCAGAGTGGGTTTCCCGGCGGTGGATTGTCCCGAGTGACGGGAATTGCCGATGCCCTTCACAGATATGGCTGTTCACTGCGGCCTGCCAGGCCAAAGGGTTTCTTCTGGCACCTGGTGCACCCAAGCACTTGCTCATCAAAACACACAGGCACCAACACTTCACAGTACATTTTGGCCTCAGGAGGTTGCATTCATAAAAAAATAATAATTATTATTATTATTATTATTATTATTATTATTATTATTATTATTACTATTACTATTACTATTACTATTACTATTACTATTACTATTACTATTACTATTATTAATAATAGTAATAATAGTAATAATAATAATAAACAACCAGCAAAACTAAACCACCCTCCCACACTCAAAGTCGCCACCAAAATAGATAAATAAATACATAGCTATTAAAACAACCGGGGGAAAAAAGCCAGACAAACAGATCTTTCATGTTACAGTTATAGGATTCAATTTAGCCCATTTTGTGTACCTGTTCTGCAGTGCTGCATTCTGAAAAGGAACATATAGAAAACAGACCTTGGAATATTATCTGTGAAGAAGCTGTGATGGTCTAATACAATCTCTGTTTACCCTTAAAACTTTTACTGCTATAAAAGAACATCCTTAAGCATAGAATGATTTTATATTCCCCAATGTAAACATGGCACCTTCTATGTTCTTCTGAGATCTCCCCATGAGACTTAAGCCCTTTCTAAATCCTTCAGTCAAATGGCTTGCAAATGCCCATTTACTATAGTTACTGAAGAATCATAAAAAGAAGGAGTGTTTTCTTTGGGATTTTCTGAATATTGGTGTTCTCAGAGGCCAATTGGTACTCATGCAAGCAGGGATCTTCACTGAACTCTACAACAAAAATCATCAAATTTATCATTATTTTAATGATATAATGGTTTCTATTTTTGGACAGGTGTGGTTTAGTCAGTATTGATCCAAATGTTTTGCTGGATGGAATGCTTACCATTAAAGGTTAACTTTCAGGTGGTTTCTGTTTCACTGTGGAAAAACACAGAATTTTGACTGTCTTCAGGCTGGCATTTCACAAGTGCTCAAACCTTACACTGTAATTAGCACTGGGCCTCTCCTAATATAAATCCTGTTTCTAATCTTTTTCCTAAGCCTAGAGAAACTCCATTTCCTATATCCTACCAGTAGTTGTCGACACGAAGAAGGAAATTCTCACTTTTAGTTTGTGGACACATCAAAAGAGAGAAACTCATTTCCTCTGAAGCCCTGTGTCTACTTTCCAGGCTATCCCATAAAATGCAGAATTATGCTGTAGACAGTAAACAGTTTCATCATTCCTTTGTCTATTGTGATCATTTCATATATTCTCCATAGTCAACTAAGCTCTTTGTATCAACACTAAAAGCTAATGTTTGTGAATTGGTGAAACAGGTGTTTAACATTCATCTGATGGAAATAAATTTTGTGACATTTTCTCAGCTTTGAGAAATAACTAGGCCATTACAACCAATTACTGATTTAGGAACACTTGGTAAAAGACTTGTGGCCAAGAATTTGATGACAATTTCAGTGTTTGCACTGCCTACAGTTTTATATAACTGTAATAAATAATAATTTCATTTTTAAGTTATTGAATAGACATTATAACAGCAGACAAAATTTAAAAAGATCAAATAATCGAGAGCTGCTGAGGAAAAGAAAAATAAAGTATGGCTCTCAAAGTTGTCTTGCTTGAGTTAGAACAGATGCTGCCCTGAGCAGCATTGACCAAAAGGAGGGACACTGACACTGTGTCAGTTCCATTTCTTTGATAGAGTAACAAAAAAAACCAAACAAATAAAAAAACCCCAAAAACAAAAAACCAACCAAACAAAAAAATCCAAAACAAAAACCCCAAAAAATCAAAAAAAAACCAAAAAACAAAACACAACAAAATTTTGTGCAAGTCTTGAAACTCAGTTTCTGTACTAGAAAATGCATCAAAATTTTTGACATTATATTTGATGTCTGTATATAAGGATGACCTATACATCTTTCTGGATTCTCGTCCTGTTTTGTGCCAAACAGGCCATGAGGACTGTTTGGGTCCTGGTCCCTCAACCATTAGTTTTATATGTGAAAGTCTTACTTAGCCAAAGCTGAGGAAAGTTTTAAGACTGCTAAACCTTTTGGTGAATTTCCAAAGTATAACCCAGGGAGCAGTATCACAAACATACATAAACAAGTAGCTGTGTCAGTCTCATGAACAGCTCATAACTTCTGAAAAGTTTGGTGTGTGACCTGTAAGGTGGTACTAAAATATAGGCATGTAAATCTAAGATTGTAACCTTTCAAATCCTAACCAACCCTCTAAAACTGAGCATTCTCTGTGCAGCTGAGGATTAAATTGCAATTAGATAAAATGCCCAGTCAGTCCTTAAAGCAGCCACTGACCCAAGGCTCCTATTTCCTGGGTAAACATCCCACCTGCTGCGCTGCACACCCACTCTTCTCCTGATGCTCCCACTGGTCTTTGACTCCTGGTATGCAAAGGGACACTACAGCCCTACTCCAAACCAACAAAAACCAAGCGCTTAAGTCATGGTCCTGGAAGGTGACTAATGGCTTAGGTCCAAGGAGGGTTGTCATTGTTGGACACAAGATGAGTCACATGGACACAGCTCGAGCCGTGGTGAAGGAAGGAGAGAGCTTTATTTTTTCTCTCAGAATTTATAAGTTTCTGACCACGGCCAGGGATTGGATAGTCAGGATAACACCTTCCCAACCACCCTGCCCGTGAGAGATGTCCATCAAAAGATGTGTATCAGAAAGAATGTATACATATCTATGTTTACAGTTACTGTCCTGGGAAAGTCTTTAGAAACTATGTCAACAAGACGGAAAAACTGAGTTTTCAGGACAACCGAGGGTTCTAGAAGTCAAGTAGAATAGTATCATAATTTAGCTATATATATATACATATATATACATAAAGACTTTGCAACAATTCCCCTTTACTGTCAGTTTCAAAGCATTGGTGAGAACACCTGTGGCTTTTCTGAAATAGACCATATAAAGACTTATCTCCAAAGGAGGATTCAGGGCTCTGAACAGCAAAATGCAACCTTGAGAAGGGCAACACTTAAAGCAGTGCTGTCTCTTCATCCTTTTCTGCAATTGCATTCAGCAACTCAGAGCAGTGACCACTGAATTTCACTCCAAAGTGCCCAACTTCCTCAGCCTGATGCAGAGGCAGCCCAAATGCTGTTTTCAAGATTATAGAATGTATGGGATTGCATGTAGGGGCCAGATAAGCCAAAAAGCAAGTATAACTACAAAAATATAGTCCTGGCTGTAAAACAATGAGTCTCCACAAGTACCACCCACGTCTGAAGTCCAAATTCAATCTTGTGCTCATTTACTTGAATTTTTCTCCTTCATGATTTCCTCAGAGCAAAATGAGACATAAAGACTTGCAGAAATTTTTCATTAAAGCTGACATAAATATTCCTGAAAGAAGAATTTTTGCCTTTTATTTGTTCTTTTGCTTCTACTCTTCCAGGCATAGTACTTTCTCACTGCTGAAGGGAAGGTTGTGCAGAAGTGCCTCTGCCACAAGCTATGTATCTTCTGGTGGGAAAGCATCACCTACAGATGAGCTGCTCCAGCTCAGTCAGAACAAACAAGCTGTGTGGGTTGGTAGAGGAGTAAAGGAATAGATGAGTGGGCTTCTTGTAGTAAAGCAGCACATAAAATAATAAATTTGATAAACACTCTGATAAACTTGCCCCATTACATCTTTGCAGGGCACACATGAGTTGCCCAGGGTCTACAGTTTAATCTCCCAGGGCATAAAATCATCTGCCAGAACCTGAATTTTGTGGAAGGAACAGGCAGGGCTCTACCTCACAAAAGAAAAGAGGATTGATTCTGTTCTATTCAACCCTAGATGTAGTTCTCAACACTGATGTTAGATTATGACTTTGTAATACTGAAAAAAATCGTAGAGTTATTTTCTAGCTCTTTTCTTTTAAGCCAAAATTACTTACATTTAGGGAAACACATGAGTAACCAAACAAGAGTTACAGCTGTGTCCAGACAATTCTTTCCTTTGGCAACACAGACACATGAACTGCATTAAAGATGCAAAATTCAGTTTAGTTTCATGACATTTACACATCTGCAGCAACATTCTGAGAATTCTAGAAATTTTGTCAACATTTAGGATTAAGGGACAGAGCTGTCTTTTTAAAAACCATTTCTGTGTTATACATACAAGTTAGCATGTATTAAGTAGTCATCTTTCCACCCACAAGCACTTTTATATAATTCATGGGTTGGGGAAGTAAAT